ACAAAGGGTCACTAGGGAATTTGGGAGGTGTCGGAACTATTCTATATGGTACTGTTGTGGTGGATACATAACTCTATTTTTCAAAACCAATAGAACAACAGATCACAAAGAGGGATTTTTACCATACAAAAAATTTTGGGGTGCCTGGCTGGCTCAGTCAGTTAAGCATCTTGATTTCAGCATAGGTCATGATCCTAGGGTTGTAAGATCAAGCCTGCTTCAGGCTCTACACCCAGTGGAGAGTCTGCTTGAGATTCTCTCTCTCTCTCCTCTGCCCCTCCCCTAGTTTACATGTGCTCCCTCGCTCTCTCAAGTAAATAAACTTTTAAAAAAAATTTTAAGGATCAAAAGGAATTCAGATAAATTCAAGATGAAATGCATAAATGAATGTTAACAATATTATGAGTGATATAATCATAATTAGGGAGTAGGGAAGACAGGAGTTATCCTCAGTAACTTTGAAAAACAGTGTTTTGACTAGATACTCCAACACCACAGACTAAAAGAAAGTACACAAACACTATATACCCTTTGTCACTAGCTAGGAAATGGCCCCCTAAAAATATCCGTATCCCCCTCCCTTTCCCATATGACAACGAAAGGGCAGGGGAAGGATCTTTGCAGATAGGATTTAGTTAAGAATCTTAAAATGGAGAGATTATCTCAATTACCCATCCAAGTAGATCCATGCAACCACATATTCTTATAAAGGAAAGGCAAAGGGAGATTTCACATATGGAGAGAAGGTCGTGTGAAGGCAGAACAGAGAAAGATTTGAAGATCCTAGCAGTGATGGTTAATTTTCTGTGTCAACCTGGCTAAGCAATGGTGTGCCATTGATTAGTCAAACACCATTATAGATTTTGCTGTGAAGGTATTTTTAAATGTGACTATCATTTAAATCAGATTATTATTCATAATGTGAACAAACTTTATCCAATCATTTGAAGACTTGAAGAGCAAAGATAGAGGTTTCCCAAAAAAAGGAATTTGGCTTCAAGATTTTAATATAGAAACCCTGAGTTTCTAGCCTGCCTGATTTGCCCTGTGGATTTCAGACTCAAGATTGTAACATTAACTCTTACCTGAATTTCCATCCCGCCAATTTGTCCTACAGATTTAGGATTTGCAATTTCCACAATCATGAGAACCAATTCCTTAAAATAAATCTAGATTATGGACAGATACATGGATAGAAGACAGAAATGGATGCTCTTGGTTCTGTTTCTCTGAACTCTAACAGAGTGGCTTTGAAAATTGGGGTGATACGGACACAAGCCAAGGAATGCCAACAGCCACCAGAAACTGGAAGAGGCCTCTGTAGAAAGTATGGTCTTGATAACATCTTGATTTTTACCCCATAAAACTGATTTTGGATTTCTGGCCTCCAGACCTGTGAGAGAATAAATTCCTATTGTTTCAGTCCACCAAATTTGTGACAATTTGCTACAGCAGCTATAGGAACCTAACATACTCTAATTGATAAATTTGTTTCTCACAGAGTGTGCGTTCAGAATTCTGAAATTACATATATACTAGGGTCAAACAAAAGAATAAATAAATTATAATTAATGAAAGCCAAGTTTCTCACTGTCAGAGAAAGAAGTTTCAAATAAAAGTAAAACCCTAGAATGACCCTCATGTTGCTGGAGTTATCAGTACAAGCTCATGTTTTAAGTATGTAAATAGATGATAGATAGATATAGATAGGTGTATAGATTAATATACATATATACATTTCCTAGCTCTGCCCACTGAGAATTAGTGATACCACAGTAGCTATGATATATTAGACCTCCTTTGAGGATACAGAGTCTTAACTGAATTGAAATATTCCTCTTATAAATTTAGAATACATTTTCTAATCATAGAGGGAAAAATTAGTCTAATCAGAATAAAATAGCTTTTTTTCTTAAATATAAACAGATGTCCAGTTTTAGTTTTTCTACTAAATGTAACAGAGAGCTCTGGGACGGGACCCCATATTTCTAAAACGTTATTGAATAGAAGTGGAGACAAATTCCTATTTTGAGGATGACAGTTATTTTGAAGATTTCATCTATCATTAGGAGAATTCTGCTCTTTAAAATACTATCTTTAGAAAGCTATTTGATTATACAGTTATTTCTGTGATCTATATTAGAAACACTGCACCTAACTCTGCTAGTTGAGATTTGTGATATTCAAACACAACCAAATAACTCCAGTTTCTTTTTCTTTTTACCTTATACCCAGATGGTATTCAATTAAATATATTTCTTTTAGGTAACATATACTTTTCTAATTTTAGGTGCCAGGAGCATCAAACCACAACACAATTAGTTGTTATCACCTGGAACTTAACACTGCATTTCTGGACCTGTGCAGCTGACTCCTACTTGATTTCTCCCAACTCTAACCATCTTACCTGTTTAACCTTTCTTAGTTATTCCTTTTATCCTGCAACTCTGGCATTAAAGACATAAGTTCCTTATCAGCTTTAGAAACCAAGTCAAAACACTTGAAGATTCTTTATAAATCAGCCTTACTGTATCTATTAATCTCAATTTCCTAGTATTATTCTCCACCCTGTTTAGGCCTATTTTGAATTTCCTCTGCTTGTACTAAATTTGTGATTGGATTTTTCTTTTGCTCATATTGTTCCCCCTATCTAGAAAGCCTTCCCTGCTTCTTTTACCAATTCAGTTCAATTCTATTAATTCAACAAAAAATTAATGAAATCTTATTAAACAGTCACTAAAGTTAGGCAACAAAAAGTGCAAAGCTAAAAAAACAACAACAACATTGACACTCAATAATTTTACTATCTACAGACCTTTAATGTCCTAATTCAAATCCTACCTCGTCAATGAATCCTTCCCAGGCTTTCCACTTTATGATAACCTTCCTTTTTATAATTCTTAAAGCACTCAATCTCTTTTCTACCACAGACCAAGTTATAAACTATAGAATTTGATCATGAACTATTTTATTGTAATGTTTTTGTTTCATAAGTTATGTCTCCTCAACTAAATTATAAATTCTTTGAGTGTAAGACTGTGTCTTTAGCTCTTCTATATATCCTCAAAATGCCATGCACACTATAGATACTTTAAAAATGCTTATTTTGTCTCTTTTATTGATACATGATACCAGTGTGCTAGGCATTTCTCTATTTAAAGTAAAAATAAACGATGAAATCACTGGGTTTCTCAAAGCTAAAACTAGTTTTGAACCTTTTAAATAACAAATAAACCAATTACAACATTTTCTCTTTCCTCATATATAGCCAATGTCTGTTATTATATCAAAAACCACCAATTAATTAAATCATAGGGTCAATAAAATACTTGATATAAAAAGCCCAGGTTTTAACTGAAAATTTCAGCTTTCATCAAGTTGTTGAAGCTTTTATTTTTAAAACACAGTCCTAAGTTTTCTTAAATTCTTTCTCTCAGGGGCGCCTGGGTGGCTCAGTAGGTTAAAGCCTCTGCTTTCGGCTCAGGTCATGATACCAGGGTCTTGGGATTGAGCCCCACATTGGGCTCTCTGCTCAGCAGGGAGCCTGCTTCCCCCCCGCCCCGCCCCCGCTTGCCTTTCTGCCTACTTGTGATCTCTGTCAAATAAATAAATAAAATCTTAAAAAAAATTCTTTCTCTCATTAGCTGTATTATTCTCTGACTTCTGTCAAGTCTTTGGGAAGGCTTAATTTAACACAATTGTGATATGTTGCAGACACCCTGAAGAAGCAAGAGAGACTCTCACCAAAATTTGGCTTGGATATTGAGACTAACAGCACCACATACACCCACCCCAGTAGAGTATGAAAATGTTTATTATTCATATAAAGACGTTTTTCTAAAAAGAGCAGGCAGGACTACGTAGTTTGTCTTAAAATGGCTTGAGAGATCAATGGCTGTGGGTTTTTATGGTTGTGGGTGGGTCCAGAACCAGAGTTCCTATACAGGGCTTGAACTTCCCACTGGTGCTAAAGGTGGGAATCCCTGGGCTTTCTTATCAGCTTGATCAGATGTGGAGCAGAAGGGAAAGAAAATGCAATGAAACTTAAAATCTGTCACCACTCACACACCAGAATTTGGTGTCAAGACTCTTTATTACTCAATAACTCAATGTAACCAATTTAGAAAGCACAAAATACAGACATTGAACAATACATTCATATAATTTCATCAAAATTTAAATATCTTCATTTCACTTACATAATTCACAAGCAAATACTGCATATAAAACGTGAGAGCCAATTTTTTTGTTAGAAACAGAAAACAAAATTTTAAATGTTCCTCAAAAAAGTTTAAGCAAGAAAATATAACAGTATTATCATTAATACAATGATCTAATTTTCAAAAATTACTCCAGCCCTTCATATTTAACTGCTTTCCACTAAAGATGCTAGAATAACTGATAAAATTAGACTTTTATTATTTGTTGTATTAGAAGAAAGTAACATATTTTATTCACTATCAATAACATGAATTCTGTGAAATTATTATTAAAACACCACTCTTTATACTGCAACAGTGAAGTGTAAGTGAAACAGTAGTTTTAAAAGCATTTTTGAGTAGCTAAAGTACACCTAAGCACTAATTCTGCATAGTTACTACCAAAAAGTCTTCTGATAGCCTAAAGTTCTTGTTCTTATCAAAATGCCTAAAATACTACCAGAATGAAACTCAGGTTCTAGAGAGAAGCAGGCTTAATACTTATAGTAAAGATTAATGAAAAAGCATCAAATTCTATTAAGATTAATTCTGCCTAAATAGGGCTCGCAAAATCAAAACCAAAATAAATTACAACAGCAAATGCTTCAAATAAAACAAAATTTGATGACATAGGGTTAATTTCCCTCAATATTTAAATATATAATCAAATAATGTAACTATGGTAACCCATTACTGCTTTAATCAAGAAAAGAAAGTAGTCTTCATTTTTAAGTAATAATGTAAATTTATGCCTTAGATGATTACAGAGCAGTTAAATAATTTGAGAAATTAGTAATGAGTTCAAAAAAAAGTAAATTGTGTTGTACTTTGTGAGGAAGACGAAAAACCTTTTACAGAAGGTGTTGAGTTTTGATCCTGTTCAAATGAAAATGGAAAACTAAAATCATCTTTTCCAGTTCCAAATGTATGAGTTGAAGAGTCTGATGAAAAAGAAAATGTGAAAGCATCTTCTCCTTCTGGTTTTCCAAATAAGTTTCCTGAGGAAGGTAAACATTTCAATACCATGCTATTCATGTTACATAATTTGCATAATCTTTTAAATTATGGTATACTGTAAACAATAAATAGGGTAACACTGAATCACTTAAGTGATTATTAATATTGTTAATATTATTAATAATTAAATAATAATTAATAAGTTAAGGCACCACTCTTTATACTCAACAGTGAAATGTAAGTGAAACAGTAGTTTTAAAAGCATTTTTAGTAGCTAAATTATACCTAGCACTAATTCTGCATAGTTACTACCAAATAATTACAATTATTAATAATTGTATTCTTATGTGAAAAGAGCTGTCCTCTGTACTATGAAAAATCAAATAGATCCAAAATTACTTTTAAGTAACTTGAACTTGAGTATAATAAAGGCTAGTATATATGGCAGAAAAAGGGGTAAAACACCTCAACTGGAAAGAACAGCACAGAAGCACAGAAACAGGCATGCATAGGAAGTATAAGGGTAACAGAAATCAATTTAGCTTGTCAGGAACACTGAGAAATAATAAAAAGTTATTAAAAGGGTATTAATAAAGATGAGCTTGGGAAGACTACTGAACGGCCAACTACAGAATCCGGACTTTATTTTATATGTAAGAGGAAGCCATTAAAGTGGAGAGGCACCAGGGTGGCTCAGTCAGTTAAGCAATGGACTCTTGATTTTGGCTCGGGTCACGATCTCAGGATTGTGAGATCAAGCCCTGCCTCCTTATCCACACTGAGTGTAGACCTGCTTAAGATTCTCACTCTCCCTTTTTCTGTGCCCCCACCAAAATAATTGAAACAATTTTTTTTTATAAGGCTCACTAATGAAAGAATACATAGGAAGTTTGGAACAGTAGAGTGTCTACAAGTGGGGATAACAGGAAAGAAATGAAGGCTTGATCTTACAATCATAGCAAAGTGAATGGGGAAAGACATTGGGTCTGAGAGATACTGCCGAAATCAAGCTTATTCAACTATTGTTTATGAGTTACTACAATGTACTGTTTGTGGCATTGTTCAAGGAAATGAACAGAACAGTGAAAAGGCTTCTACAGTTCTAAAAGGAATTTTTTAAGATTTCATTTTTATTTATTTTTTAGAGAGAGAGCTCTGCATCGCATCTGGCTCTGTGCTCAGCAGGGAGCCTGCTTCCTCCTCTCTCCCTGCCTGCCTCTCTGTCTACTTGTGATCTTTGTCTGTCAAATAAATAAAATTGTAAAAAAAAAAAACCTCCTATACTCATTATAAATAAAATAATAGTTTAATGTGCAAGTTGTTGTAGACAATACAAAGGTGAATAAAACAGAATCCCTGTCCTCAAAGATCTGTGAAGAGATTTTATATGTTAATAAATAACAACAGACAACAGAATATTTTAAGGTATATAGAAAAAGAAAATATAGAAAATTGAAGGAGAGATCCTTTGGGGATGAAAAGTTGAAGGGAAATAAAAGGATTTATGGAACCTGGTCTTGGAAGACGGTTAGAAAGAAATGGAAGTTGAGGATTTCAGGAAGAAATAAGTGGGTAAGAAAGTGTGGGCATATTTGGGTTGTAGTTTGTTCTTTGGTCTGGTAAAAGCATATGTTATTTTTATTAGAAAAGGCTTTAAATGTATGTTGGAATGAGGTTAGATACATCACATTAGCAGAATAAAAGAAAATAATCATATGATCATCTCCATAGATGCAGAAAAAGCATTCGACAAAATTCAACATCCATTCATGATAAAAATTCAATTTAGGCATAGAAGGAACCTATCTCAACATAATAAAAGCCATATATGACAAGGCCACAGGTAACACTATACTCAATGGTGAAAGGAGGAGAGGTTTTCCTTTAACATCAGGAACAAAGCAAGAGTGCCTACTCTTAACCACTCCTATTCAAAGTAGTACTGGAAGTCCTAGATAGAGCAGTCAGGCAAGGAAAAGAAATATCTATGTATATATATACATATACACACACAATGGAATATTATCGAGCCATGAAAAAGCCAGGAAACCTTGCTATTTATAGTAACACTAATAGCATTATGCTAAGTGAAGTAAGTCAGACAGAGTAAGACAAATAATGTATGATCTCATTTGTATGTGGAACCAAAAGAAAAGAAAGAAAAAAGAAAAAAAGAAAAAAGAAATGTCCACTAATCTATCACCAGAACTAAAGCAGTACTGAATATAAAATATATTATATGTATACACATACATATTCATATGTTGAATGAATCAGTCATGGGATAAGAGAAGAAAGAAGACCCAATAAAAAGCACCAGAGATATAGGAGGAAATCTAAAAACTTCAGAAAGAAGATGAGAATAATCAACTATTCCAAATGCTACAAAGATAGTGAATATGATAATAAATACAAAACACCCATAATGTTTAATAATTGTTAAGTCACTAGTAGTTATTGGAGAATTTAGTGGAGTAGTGAAAGAAGATAAATTGTTGCAAAAAATAATTAGTGAGTGGTGCAGAGATAATAGAATTTTAAGAGAATAAACTGAGGGCCTGAGAAAATCAGAAAGCAAACTAAATAAAAAGTGAGGAAGTTAACATGTTTTTGTATGTAGCAAACTTCAAATCACTTACCAATTTCTTGTTGTGATGAGAGAGGATTTAAATTTCCAGCAGAATAATGTTCATTAAACTGAAAAATAATTTCTATTCAGTATTACTCAAGAAATCAGTAAAACAGCATATATGGCATTTATATTTGAATATAAAGCCTGGTTCTTCTAGTAAGCATAATTATAGTAGACAAATGGCAACATTCTATACAGCACATTACTGTGCTTTAAAACCTATCATTTGCTTATATTAAAATAAGGCTTATTGATTTGATTCTGGCAATAGATAATACATTAAAAGGATATACATAGTGTACTAAAGATAGTTCCTATTTTGGAATATTAATATAACCTAAAATTCTAATTAACTTTTGCTTTATTCTGGAGGCCTTTTACATAACAGGTCCTTGGTATTGTTCTCCAGCTTGTAAAAAATAATAGGAAATATGACAGCTTCATGTCAGTTCAGATCAAGTTTTGCTGCCAAAATAATTTTTCTTTGTAAAATAGGTTTTTTTTTAAAATGGGCTCATGACAACACAGTTTTCTGTCCCCTTTTTTTCTCTTAATGCTGCATAATGAGCATTTTCCCATGTCACTATTCTTCTAAAACCAGATTCTTTTCATGGAATTTTCATATTCTTCCATATGAATATACCATACAGTTTCTTTCTTTTTTAAAAGTTTTTATTTAAAAACATACAGTGTGATATTAGTTTCAGATGAACAATTTAATGATTCAACACTTACAACACCCAGTGCTCATCATAAGTGCACTCCTTAATTAGTCCATCCCCCCACCCCCTACCCTCTGGTAGCCATCAGTTTGTTCTTATAGTTAAGAGTCTGTTTCTTCAAGATGGGATTGGGAGGGAGACAAACCATAAGTGACTCTTAATCTCACAAAACAAACTGAGGGTTAATGGGGGG